TATCGCTAATCTTCCATGATGATCGATTTAAGATTATAAGATCGTCTCATCTTAAATCGTTTCATCAGTTTACGAGTTTGAAATTAGTCGAAATCAGTTCGAAACTACTTACAGATGTTTTACAGTACTTCACATAGATTTCTCGATGTGATTAGTGCAGATTTCTTCGATACTTCCCCATTGATTCGCCTGAAAATTCGCAGCTCCAAAGGCACCAGGAGGTACTGCCGTTGATGCTGTTCGACTTTTCCCATTTAAGACTCGCTTTAGGTAGACCTGATTGTTATAAGTCTTTATAGCATTATCTTTTAAGCACTTCTTAAAATCGTACACTCATATAAACCAAGACGATCTTCGAAAATTTATAGAGATGTCTAACGTATATACACGCGTGACTTGTATTGACACGCTGGAAGTTCCCTTTATTCAAAGAAACAGGATATATCTCTTTCTCTCTTTCTTTCTTTTTAAGAGAGATATTTTTTGACCAAAAGTTTCTAATTGTCAATACTGAAGTTCTGCGACACCGTCACAATCGTTGGAAATTTATGCAAGTACAATGTACATTGCTGGAATATATACTTTATCCTTCTATATTCTCCTGTCAACTGGTTATATATGTACATTGCTATTATTATCTCTTGAGGCACACTTTGCACCACTCGGCTCCATCAATCTTGCGCGTTTGACTCAAAGTAAGACAGATAATCCTTTGAACAAACTTTACGTCTCGAGAGGAGCAACCGTGTACGCAACACATACAAGTATTTGGTCTCGCGTATCAACGTGATCGAGACTCATTGAACTATTTGCAATGGAAGTGGTTTACCAGTACAAAAGTTACTATCATTGTCTATTTCCTTCGACATGGTGAAAACTTTCTCACTTCACTGTCCGCTATAGAACTGTATACGACCGGTTGTCACTGGCATTTCTTTCATGACAGCGTCCCATGCTATTGACAAAAAAAAGAAACAAGAGTAGAATAAGTACAAAGAATAAGCAAGAATAAAGCAATGAATACCTCAGTTAAAGATGACAAAGAAACGCTATGTCTTACCTAAGCCAACAAACGACACGATCTTATCATGATTGTACGTCTGCACATTCAACTCTTCCTCGGGTGCTACGTAAAGCATCGAGAAATCTTCCTTAGGTGGATGAAATTTCTCTATGATTCCGGGTGGCGGTGGAGGCGGTGGTGGCAGATATGTGGGAGGCGCAAATCTTGTGGGATAGCCCATGTACGGCAACGGTTGCACCATGACTGGATGCACGTTCGCCGGTGTTACGTGAGCGTTTGGTTGTTGCATGTGATAATTTGAGAACTTGTCGTATCTCACAGGTTTTTCGGTGAACAATGGCGGATTCCTCTCGAAATTGTTGGGCGGCGGTTTGTTGACGAGCGGCGGTACGGTCGGGGAAAAAACAGGATTCGCCGCGATTGTTGGGGTTTCCTCGTTACCGTTATCTTCCGAAAGTAACAGCTCGTTTATTTCAAAACCAAACGTGAGCTCCGTCGGCAGATTGTTGTTCTTCGCGATGTCAGAGGATGTTTCGTCCAAAAGGATCACTGCAGGTCTAGGAGTCGAATTTTTTATCTGCTGCGTTTCCACGGATGGTCTTTGCGATTGATCTTTATCGGGCTGCGTGTTGTGTGACTTTGTCTTCTTGTTATCCGCCTCATCGCGCTGTTGATTGTCTTGTTTCGAGTTTTGCGATTGACAGATTCCCACTTTTGTCGCATCGTGTTTTATCGCGGTATTCTGATACTCTTTCGTGACTCTCGCTGACCTCGAATCACCGCTGGTCATCTTATTGTTGCTAGATTCGGGCTCGCCGCTCTGCGAATCCTGCATGGGTTTCGCAGTCTTCAACTTTTGCGCATCCGCGCAGTCATGCGGCACGATTGTTGGACTAGCCTTGTTTTCAGACTGCGCAGTGTCAGTGTTATGCGATTTCTTAATTGCCTCCTCGTTATAAGAAGACGCGGACTTTTTAATGTGTTGCTCTTCGTGCGATCCCTGAGTTTGTACATTTTGATTACTGTGTACGTAATTCCTACGAGAGCGAGGATTATTGGCTCTCGGAAGCGTAACAGAATCTTTATTGTTGACGGTACAATTAGGATTGTTATCAGTATCGACTGGATTATAATTCATCGTTGTACCATTATTATTATATTTTGGTATTACAGTGTTTGTCATGATAGTCTCGTTTGAATTCGAGCTGTAATTGCTAGAAGTCACGTTCTTCTGTTCCTTCTGGTCTGTTGCTTGCGTTAGGCTTTCATGCATTTTCTCAATATCTTGCACATATTTAAAGACTTGGATATTCTTATTGATGGCCTCTTCCTGAGCTTCGGCTTTCTTTCTATCTGACGAATTTTTCATTTTCGTCAGAGTTGGCGAAAGTGGTTTTTCGAAAGCCAGACTCAAACTCGCTGCTGCATGGTTCGATTGTGTCTGTTGCTGTCTCGCTTTTCTCTCCGGATGCTGCAATTCATCTAAACTCGGATAATAATCTTGAGGCACTTTATCCGGTTCCGAAAAAGTCTTAGGCGGAACACTGGGCCACGATGACGTATTTAGCATAGCGGACATAGTCAGATTATGTGGCATGTTGATAGTAGCCATGCGTGCTATATCAGCGTAACTCGCTTGCGGAGTGCCACCCGACGATGTTGCGACTTTAGACAAATTATGCTTCGAAGTATTCGATGTAACCGGCAACGAATGGACTGAATCCAAATCGCTACTATCCGCCGACTTGTCGCTGCAAAAAATTACAATGTATATAGACATTAAAATCTTCGAATTAACTATTTAACCTAGATCAATTTAGCTCGCAAGCTAAACACTAAAATCTCTCCATTATCTTATTGAGCGATAAACAGGAAACAAAAAAGGATAAAGAAAACAATCACTGAGTAGAACTCTAGCATTATCCTTTTTTCTATCTCAATCAACAAGATGATGGAAAAGACGAAGCGTTTCGCTCGCGAGCTATGTTTGGGGCAGATCTAGTCGAATCATTTGTCACATATAAGCAATTATTTAATTACCTCGGAGGCATACTGCTAGCCGATTTTCTTCGAAGTTCAGGAGAAAGAGGTGTCCTGTAGTCGTTAGAGAATCCTCTGGAATTTTGGAGATACGATCCCGATGTTGTTAGGTTTTGCGCCCTACTGCCACTGGAGCTTCTTCTTTGTTTTTTGCTCTTTTTCTTTTTCGTAACTACCAGAAACTCCGTCTCATGTTCCGGTTCCGGATTAATCTTTTTATTGGAATTACGACGACTCATGTAATCCTCCCCTGTATCGTTGCAATATATCGATTGACCTTCCTCTGTCCCCCAGGATCGTCTGTCGCCTCGACTATCGACTGTCGCATCTCCGGTGCTCCTTTGTTTTGGACGTCGCAGTGCTATATTTACTCCTATCGTTATAAAGATTAACAGTATATTAAGAAAGAGATATTATATATAAATATATAATACTTAAAATTTTATATATACATATAAATAAATAAATAAATGATACCGTGTTGACTGGATACGCTGCTGGCACCACTGGAACTGGGACTCTTTTCCGTCGTGAGATCCTCTAATTTTGTTTTCGAGATTTCTTCTAAGGAATTAGACTTCTTTAACTTAGAAGGCAATTGTTCTCTCTTTGTATCCTTCTCTCTAGTTCTCGGTTTTGTGCCAGAACTAGTTTTCACTCTAACGGGATTACCAGTCTTTCCTTTTTTGTTCTTGGATTCTTTATTCTCAATGAAGTTAATTAGACTGTCGATATCCTCGTTACGATGACCTTCGACATTTTCGGCATTATAAACTTTGACATTGTGTTCTTGAGTATGTTTCCTTCTGGGCTTCTTCCGTTCACCATTATAGGGCTGTACAGCGTTTCCATTTTCATCCAATGATTTCTTTTCTCCCGACACGGATGGATCCTTCATCGTGATGTGCTGCGTTGTATACCTTGGACCTTCTGTGCACAAATCATATATTTTACTAATAAATAATTTTATTAATTTTGAGACTTGGATAAAACGCAAGTAAATTTTCTTAAATATAGAAAAATCTTTCAAAAGTTTAATACAACAGACATAGTATGTGTATATAAATTAAAGTGTTATTTTTACCCATTGTTATATTCTGCGTTTGCCAAGACGCCGGCATCACGGAGCATAAACTGGGTACGATTTTGCTTTGGCTAGTACTGGAACCATTTGAAGCCCCACCTATACCACATTTTACACTGTTGTGTGGTTGAAACAATGCCCCAGTCACTTCTGTACCATTAACAGACATTTTTGATTTCTCTTGCTTATGATCACGTATAGGAAACTCTATAGTGGTGTCCACAGATGTCTGTCCTCCTATATCGAAAGATGCCCGTGTGACATATTGTTGGATCGGTTTGCGGGGTTCAATAATTTTCAATTCAGTCCCTTCGTCATTTTCAGTGTCTAACGAGCGAGGTCTTTGAATCCCACTCGCAGTAGACCCCACATTTCTTTCACTAATAGCACCTACCTAAAATAGATAAAAAGTAGTATCTCTTAAATGTCGTATATTGTGTTTCATCAAAACAAACTTTTTTAAAACACTTTTATAAAAATAGAAAATAATCTTCCTTGTTATTAAAATAAGTCGTTTGGAACCGACGTTAAACTATAGATCCCATGTATCTGCATAAAATTATAAGATACACATTATAGAATATGAAGAAAGGCTCACTATCCCTTCTCTAAGAGGCTACGGATTGAGGAGAGATCAATTAGCACAAATGATACCTTACCTCAACATCGCCTAAGTCGATGACCATGTAATCCGATTTATATTCAGGAGGTGGATTATCTGATTCCAGCATCTCATTTGTTCCGAATTTTCCTTTGCTAATTCGTTTCTCTCGTGTTTCGGACTCTGCCTCACCTGAACTATTAGCAGTGTCTCTTTTCAGTTCCTTTTTTTCTTTCTCTTTTTCTTCTTTCTTTGTACTAATATATGACGGTTTATCTAAAGACTTGGATTTTTCCTTATTGGTCCAATCATAAGCTGGCCGTTCCTCACAGAAGCTCTTCTTTATAAACAGATAAGAAAATATGTTGTTTATGTATGTAAATTTTCACTGTTATAATCTCATAATCATGAAAAATATTTTTTAAATAAATATTAGATATAATTTATTATACCGTTAGTAAAACAGATTTATATTTATGAATATCATTAACTTTATATTAATATTCAATAATAAATACCTTTTTATCAAATATTAGATCTAAATTAGCCAAAGAAGCAAGGTTATGCGATGCATTTACATTTGACGGTAACGATCCACCTTCTCTCTGTCTAGCAGAGACACTGGGTCCTGGGTTTTGCTTTTTGTTCTTGCTTCTATCCTTTCCGCAATTAAACGAATGGTCAAATTCCGAACGTGCTAACTCTTGCAATGATGTGACATGTGTCAAATCTGTCTCGGACACATAATACTCCCCTTTCTGTCTTTTACGATTTGAGCCCGAAAAACAGCGTGAATTAGGTATCACTCTACGGCCTTTCTCATCATCCGCTTCTGCTTTTAACAAAAGTTCCTATAAAATACATCATTTTATATACATCTTACTCTCAACAACATATAGCATTTTTATATGTAACTTTCACAAAGTAATTTCAAAGTACATACTTTAAAAATCTTAGACTTTCCTTCCCGATCTTTTGGACACTTGTACGTTATAGCTTCATCCAGTAAATCGCGTAACTGTTTATCATTTAGCATAGACAGGGTTGTCGATTCTTCCTAAAAATAAGAACAACTGAAAAAATTACGTCATCTATGCCAGATTACAGAGAAACTGCATTGTATTGATTATATTTTTGTACAATTTCCCTAACTTATCTTAGCTGTAAGTATTTTTTAAATAAAAATTAAATAAATTGATTTCTCCTAGGATTTTCTCTTATAATATTAAACATCTATGCTCTTAATAGAAAATATATTGTAACAAATATATACGTCACAATGTTAAAAGTTTTGAGATAGGAGTCGGTATACAAGTTGAATAGTAATAGATGTATTGGCAGATAGAGAATTTAAGGTTTCTCTTATTGGATCTGTATAAGACTTACAACAACCACATTGTGAAGTATTATGTGTGTGTGTGTGTGTGTGTGTGTGTGTGTGTCAGGATTGTCACAAATTGCCTATCCTAAAATTCTATAACTTTTCCCTAATTTCCAAAATTTCATGACTTTGTGCAATACTTTTAATAACATTTTGAATTTCTTTGTATTTATTCTAAGTTGAAAATTCATTGAATATTTTGTTGAGAGAGCAATTTAACATAATGTAAGTTACTATTAATGCTGCTGACACTGCTTGCATTTAATTGTTAAGTTAGTGATATTCCAAAACTGCATAGGTGTGATATACGCATACTGAACTTCTTTTAAAGCCAAGAATTTTAATTTTCTTACAAATTCCTACCTTTCCCTAATTTCCCCAAACGTTTTCGATTTTCCGATGTTTCCCTGATTCCTAGTTTCGCATCCTACATATATTTCTTACACACACATGCATATATGTATGGTGTTTACTGTTTCTAAAACGTTAAGTAAACATTCAATCTCAAGTAATTCAGTCTATTTTGCATCTTAAGACCTCCTGCCCATTAATATGCCGACATAACCAAATCAACTTGCATGTACAGCAGACGAAACGGATTTCGTATGCGACACACACAGCTGCATATAAGGCAATATAAAAAGTAAAATATATCGAGATACCGCGCCACCACGTTATCGTCACGTTAACGAAAAAATCCAGATTTTATCCAACGTGGTTATATACCGGGTGCGAAAAAAACGGACGCATTCTCGGAAGCTCTGAGACGAATTGAGCTTTTTTTTTTTCACGCGCAAGAAATACGATAGTGTTCGTAAAAAAAGGGAACGAACGAATAATGTGGGTAGACGAAAAAATCGAGAACGCGGGACGTGGGGCGAGACGGGACGACGAGCGTTACAAGGGAGGTGAGGGGAGATCTCAGGATAACGATACAACGTTGGTTCGGCGAACTCGCGAACGTTCAATGACATGACGAGAATCGTCACGGAGTCCCAATTTCTTATACGGGGTGTCGCGAGCGTAAGAGCGACGAGGACAGTGAACGATCTGACCGAGAGATTTACGTAGCGATTCCGCGATCGTAGTCGGATGGAAATTGTGGAAACCGCGGAGTCCGATCTGTAGGCCATTTGTGAGATCGATAACGCTCCAGTGATTAGCTAATTAAGATGTGAACTCCGAGGAACGGAGAGAGAGAGAGAGAGAGAGAGAGAGAGAGAGAGAGAGAGAGAGAGAGAGAGGGAGAGAAACAGAGCGATATCAGAGTAACTTACGATGGAAGATAGACGGAGGAAAAAATCCACTGTGCAATGCCGGCACGGAATTTGTATTTTTAGAGAACACACGGACGACCGGGTCTCACTCGCTCGCTTCGAGATCGCACTTTCGTGACACGGTCGACTTTACGGTTGCACAGTGCACTGCCACTTTTCTTTCAACACACGAGCGAACGAACGTTGCGCATCCCGGGGCCCGTGGACGGTGCTGCCGGGCTAAGCGCACGGACGGCGTCGTCGCCTTTCGCGGAGGTACAGTAACAACAACAACAACGACGTCGACGTCGTCGTTGTCGGCAGATATGACGAGTCCCGGTTTTTGAAAGCTACTGCGACGAGCGGGTGCGGCGCGCTCTTCCCAGCATGGCCGCCGCCATTACACTGAAAGCACGACCAGCCCAGGGGCGTACGAAGGCCGGAAAGGCGCCACGCGGCTTCCCAGAAATAGCTCTCGTTCCGCTCCTTTTCGTCCTCTCTCTCTCTCTCTCTCTCTCTCTCTCTCTCTCTCTCTCTCTCTCTTTCTTCTGTCGACAATTTTGTGAGTGAAAACGGGGAGGAAACAAAGGAACAAAAAAAAAGCACGCGTTCATCTCGATTTTCAACGCGAGAGGGTCGATTGTAGGTCTTTTCCGTAGAATTGAACTGGTATACACTTTTAGAACTTAAGCCTGTGACACATAATGCTTGTTTTCCTGCTGAAATATGCTTGCGTTCTGGTAAATTACTGGAATTGCACCACACAAAAGGTGGTGGTAAGGTCTGTGGATTACTTGTACTTTTTGTAGTCAGCATCTTCAATTTCTTTCTTTCTTTTCAATGTATATTTATCTCTTAGTACAAAAAGTGTTGAGGATTTTAAGTAACGTAAAGATTCTACCTGTAAAATTTTTAGTCATTTACCAAAATACAAGTAATCTAGGAAAACATACATCTTGTACCGCAGGCTTTAAAGTGAAATAGATATATTTTTGGTATATAGTGAAAACGAGAAAGAAAGTTCTAATGCATGAATAAAAAATAAACCTAGGCATCTATTATGAAACAAGTCGAAATGGATTCTAATCGAATTATTTCGTTTTTTTCTCTAAAAAACACAATAGAAATCCAAGGAATAATAGAATAGTTTCGATTAAAGTCCATTCTGAATAATTTCATAATGTGTGAAAAAAATCTCAAAACGAGATGGAAATTACAAAAGTGAGCAGATTCTGCAGGTGTTGATTGCATTCAGCAGAAAAAGCAGCTTTGCAATTGTTGCAAGATTCTTTAATATAATTAATTCACATATTTAGATCCAGTAAGGAATCAAAGGCAAAACCAATCATATTACAAAATTTTACAACAGTCGCAAAGCTGCTTTTTCTGTTAAAGTGAAAAGATCTCTTTTCTGTAGCAAAAATGGTATACACTTTTAGAACTTAAAAAAGTGAAATACAGTGAGTGCAAAAAATTATTCGTACAGAGAAAATATTTAAAAAAAAAAAACTTTATTTTTTTAAAAAGTAAATATTATCCAGCGAGAAATGAGTTATCGAATTGATGTCAAATCGATATGATAATTGCAACACCAATTCGACGTTTAATTGACGATCATTTCTTGCTGGATAATTAACAATTTTTCATAAAACAGACTGTATGTTTCTTAAAATTATATGTACCAAAAAGATGTGTATTAATTATAGAAAATATATCATTTGAAAAATAAGCGAAAATAAAAAATTCTATTGTTTGAATGCTTAAAAAGTATTCGTACAATCGGAAATTTACCTTTTAAAATCAGAAATACATGCGAAGCTTGTTTATTTATGTTAGAACAATATATTCATTGTATAAAATTGTTAATTAATGTTTATTTTTTACAAATAAGACTTTTTTTTCTTGTACGGACACTTTTTGCTCTCACTGTAAAGCGAAGAAGAAAGTTTTAGTGCAATTTATAGTGCGGGAATAAAAACAGACCCAATAAAATTATAAATATTATATAATGAATTTGCTCACTTTTGTAATTTTCATCTCATTTCAGGATACACAACAATAGGATTTTAAGAGATGAACTCGATGTCACGAGTCTCGTGAAAAGGCAAAGGGAAAAAAAAAAAAAAAAAAAAATCTTGATCACGTTCCCCGTGTAAGAATCGTTTTCATGCGGCAACGAAATGTGATTTGTCACGGAACGACACGTTCTTGCTCGTGACAATCACGCTTGCGTACTCGGGTAGTCCTCTGTTTGGAGAATCGTGCGTACACATACAATACATACGTGCACGCGGTGGTTATCCAGGATTGAGAATCGGAAGGCTTGCACTCGCGACCCTAAATATATGTGAGACGCGCGCGGCGCGAGTTCTCTCGCCTTTGTTAAACTCCGCGACGACGTGTGGGACAGATTATTAGAATATCTCTTTCTTCCGGCAGTCTCTGATCGCTCGGATAAGTTACGTTTGTAACGCGGTTCAACGTTCAGTGTTGTTTCTCTCTCTCCAAGATATCCAAGAGAGCGAGACTCGTGATCTGTACTTTTTAGTTAAAAATATGAAAAAGAAACCAAAAATGAACAGCAATATATCTATGTAGTGATTGAATTTATTAAATATTTGTAATTTCATTGGTCAACATCTAGTAATGCTCATTTTTGTCATTTTTCACCTCGTTTCAAAATACTGAATATTATTACCGAATCGACCCTAAGAAGTTCAGCCAAAAGGATCTGGACTCTCGAACGTTTTTCATCGATAGATATGCTTTTTTTTATTTCTGCACTGAACTTTCCTTCTCGTTTTCGAATTTGCAAATTTCAAACATATAGGGTAACTCCATTATACGCCGCACTTAACAAAAATTTAATTTATTAAGTATTATTATCATTAATGTAAATGTATTTAATGTGTTTAATGTAAATGTATTACACCAAGAAAAACTTTGTACTGTCTACTACTATAAAAAAATATTAGAAATTTAAACCTTATTTTTCGTATTAAAAAAAAAAAAAAGACTTCGAATCCTTGCACTTTTGTTGTATATGCCGTAGAAGCGGGATATATGGTTATTAAAAAATTTATTTATAAGGGAGAGTGGGATGTTCGGCTAATAAAAAACTTTACAAATAATGCTTATAAATAAAACGTAAATTTACAAATAATGCTTATAAATAAGATGTAAAATAACACAATAACTTATAAAATGTGTTTACAAAGTTTTATTAAAGAATAAGAATGAAAGTATATATATGAAGTAGTAGATAATAATTACAATTTTTTTACATACACATATTATATAGTGTTATGACATGAAATAGATATTTCATGTAATGCGTTTATTGCATTTAATGCACCGAATCCAATCTGCACTTTGTATGCTTTGGGCATAAATCTCATCCTCCAAATAGGTGGGATATAC